ATCAGCAAAATATAAACAAATGTGCACGGTTGACTGCCCATTTCTCCTGCGCAGAACGGAGCGAAAACGCAGCCAGTGATATATTTTAAGTGAGCGCTTGATAAATGAAATTGTGTGTAAGCAACATTTGCTGTCATTTCCAGATTCCTGCTAAGGCAACAGCAGCTGCTTAAAAAAAAAAAAAACACTAAAAAACAAAACCAATAACACTTTCTCCAAGATTGAAATGAAAGCATTAACACACCTGAACTCTCCTGACCAATTATTATGCTAATGTGTACAAACACAAAAGATAATTCTACATACACTTCACCCAAGATTGAAAGTTGTTGTCAGCTTTATCGTTCTTTCTCTCTCCCCCCTACCTCTCCCCCCCCAGCTCTACTTAACTGAATGCTGTTTGGAGTATTTTGTGTTTTGTTTTTGTTTTTTATTTTGCTTTTCTTGCTACATTTGGGCACAGATCAAGAGAACCTGTAGGTATACAAACAAACAAAGCAATCCAAACATAAATGGCAGAGATTTCTGTCTGTGGCTGAGACCTGAGACCTCGGTAGATGTCACTGAGAGAAACCGGGAAAGATGATAAGCAGGAAAGATATAGCAAAGGTGAATATGCAAACCCACGGGAATACTTTGACAAGAATGCCACCACTTCTCAGGTATGGCCTTGTCATAAGCCAGAGACAATTGGGGCCAGCAATGCTGTTGTGTGCGTTTCCTTACAATTTGTGTGAACAATGCTTACATAGGCATAGGCATCCTTCAGTCTCAAGAGACAATGGTAACATGCTCTGTATCAAGAAGTGTCCTCTCCAGAGCATGAAGTTTGAGTAAAGTAATATGGAGGATAGGCTGTTACCCAAGCAGCAGATCCCCCCTCTCCACATCGCTGAAATGGTCCATTGGAAAGGCAAGAGCCAATACAACTGGTTCCAGCAATGTCGCAGGAGTTGGCAGAACGACACAAACTGCCTCCGGGACTCCGGCTCCGGATTTTGCCTCGAGGTTAACTCCTGAAGCCTTTTCCATGAGTGGATATAGCCGCAAGGCAATGGAGGTTTGAAATTGGAGTTTTCCTTCTCCTACATGGGCTGCCTTCCATGGCTGACGAGCCCCACCTACCTGGCTTATAGGCCCCAGGAAAATGGAAAATGTGCATGTGGATATTTCTGTTCTTCAGATATAGATATTAACATGAGCTAAATTCAGTTTGTTACTAGGACCTGCATTCCAGCGATGGGCAGGATCAAAGGCAAAACAGTAGAACCGATAGTGCCAAAATATTTCAGCTTCAAGCTCTTTCTGCCAGGAAAGATCCCTCCAGAGGAATTTCAGTCTTTTAAAGCAGAGAAAAATCATGGGGGGGGGGGAATCTGGAAAAACAACACCGATATTTATCTTGACAAATGAGGAGTGCTGATCTGGAGAAGCCTAGAAGGCTGGATTTGGCCTCAGGACCTGAGGTTCTCCACCACTGACTCAGAGTGTAAGCATCCTTCAGTCTCGAGAGACTAGGGTCACATGCTCTGTATGGAGGACTTGGAACAGCATCTAGTGTGGCTGAGAAGGCCAATTCAAGAGTGACAATCTCTTCCATATTGAAGACAAATCCAATCTGTCCCCTGTCCAGCTCCCTGATTTTGCTGTTTTCGGGACTTCCTCTTTGCCTCGGCCTGCTGGACAAGGGTCTCTTCAGATTCAGAGTATGGACTAGCCAATTAGGATTTTCTCGTTGATGCGATGACTAGACTTGATTTTTGGGGGCCTCTATAGGCAGTCTCTTAGGTGAGCATAGCTACTGACATCACAACGGCTATGGAGAAAGTCCTTAGAGGTCTTTCTCCCAAACACAAATGACAACCATAGTCTCATTTTTTTCCCACTGGAAATCCTGGATTTCCAGTTTTATCTCCAAGCAAGTGAAGACACCACTAACCATAGAACCATAGAGTTGGAAGGGGCCAATAAGACCATCGAGTCCAACCCCCTGTTCAGTGCAGGAATCCAGAGGAAAACAGATATGGCAGAGGGTGGTCCAGTTTTCTCTTGAATGCCTCCAGCGTTGGAGCGCTCACCACCTCCTGAGCTAATTCGTTCCACGGTCATACTGCTCCAACAGTTGAGAAGTTTTTTTCCTGATATTCAATCTAAAACTTGCTCCCTGTTGCTTGAGCCCATTACTACGCACCCTGCACTTTGGAATGATTGAGAACAACAGATCCTGCCTTCTTCTGGATGACTATCTTTCACGTATTTGAAAAGTAAAAACTAAAAACCATTAAAAGGCATGGCTCCAAAGTCCAGTGTTCTTTGCCCAGAGTGGCCAACTAAGTACACACTTAAAGCTCACAAGCAGCCAATTGGGTTCCCCAGCAAGTAGATCCTGGAGGCCCTATACCTTCTCACCAAGAAACACACCCTACTGAAATACATTGGTCTTCTGATTTGATAGCAGTGTTTGACCACAGTCCTTTGGTCGTAAGCACTTCTGTACATTCAGGCATAGATGAGGTCCCTGGCTGCGCTGTCTCTGAGCTTCTGGGGATTGCCATTCCGAAAGATAACTTGTATGTGTAGAATCTCACTCTTCCTGCGGAACTTTATTCTCCCATTAAGTTCATAGCACAGATTTCACATCAAGGAATAAAAACCAACAATCCCGGCAGCTGGTAAAAAACAACATATTCACACCCTAAAAATTATAATTAAATTGATTTTGCTGGGTTACGCACAAACTACTGATCTATCTGTCTGATCTTTTTTTTTTTTAAATCTTTGGGAGGATGAAAAATTGAGAAATAACTTCAAAAGTTGTTGAAGTGTCATCCCACGTCTTGATCCATCAAAGAAGTCCCTGTGATTGTGTTCAGGGCCAAATTTATGTATCTACAAAGCTGTTGCCTTTGATTTTCATTGACGAGATCTGTTTGGTGTTTTATGTTTTTTGTTTGAAAGAATGCCTTTTAATTACTAGCTAGGAGATAATGGCTACATGCCATCTCTTTTTTAATTTATTAATTTATTTCGCTTTGAAATTGTTCACTAACTAGAGGTTGTTTAGATACAGTCTATCAAGAATATAAAATGCAACAATACAACAATAATGGGATATAACAGTGACTGAAATGGGGAGGGGAATAAAACCAAGATAAAAACCATTAACCAGGGTTGGCTTGGGACAATTTACATCCAGAATATGAAGTAGCCAATGATAACTCATCCACACAAGAATCCTTTAATTTGGTACCAAAGCTGCCTCAATTTGGCAATGATGATGATGATGATGATGATGATGATGATGATGATGATGATGATGNTTGAAATGACTTCTAGTTTAGTTTTTTTTTTCCATTTCAACTCATTTGGCTTAAAAGCAAAGTGTTCTGCTTAATTTAGTTTAGATTTTACAATACCCAAATGTCTGCCTGAGGCGGCTGCCTTCCTATTTCAGAACATAGTACCAGCCAATTCCAAAGAATAAAGCCACTACAGAGTCAAATGAGCAAAGCTAAAGGAGCAATAAAATGATTCTTAAAATATGTGAGAGCATAAAGATCTTTCCTCCAATTCTATAGATCCACTGGCACTTAGAGTTTTCAATAACTCACTCTGACTCAATGGTAAGAGAAAGAATTAAAAGGTTGCCTTTACTCACAGTTGACTAGATCGAAGCAGCGTACTGTAGAAAAACGACTGCTTATAGAATTTCAGCAACTGGCCTCAACAGACTCGCAGCCGGCTTCCAGCAGACTCCTGCAGACGACATTCTCTGACCGCACACTAACTGCATCGTTGCATACTAACCACCAGACACTTAAATAGAGAGGCATGGTTCTCTTCAACAACCAAGGCAGGGAAAGAATAATGGGGTGCTGTTGGATTGATCGGCAGTCACCTCAGCCCAGAAAGGTCCCTCCCAGCCAAACCTCTTCAAGGAAGCATACAAGGTTGAAATAATTCCGACAGTATCCTATCAGAGGTTATAAAAACAGCCAGAGGTTTACTGTGCCCCACGAACTTTACTGAGCACATACACCTTTGCCTTTCTGAAGGATCCTGATTATCCATAAACCTTGCATTCAACATGACTTTTCAAATGAGTTGAAATGAAAAAAACCCAAATAAAACAGACACTATCATTTATTTCAGGCCTGCCAAATACTTTAATATACAATATTGAATATAGTAATCAATGTGGTCTGGCTACTTATGATATTCAGTACAATGTGACTGATCAAGGCAATATGTTTGTTGCTGGGAAGAGAAGCAAAACTGAGGGGGGGGCCTGAGCAGTAGTCGGAAAAGGCGAGACAAAATGATAATGTGTCAGAGCAAATCTTTTAACACTGCCATCTGATTCTTGCTTACGTGTCAAAGAAACCTTGACAGACTCATAATTTTCCACTTACATGTTTCCATTCGATATAGTTGCTTTTGTCTCGGAGACGTATAATTAACCTTCCTTACTGATGAAAGTTAGAATTTAAAGAATCTAACTGAATTTAATGAGTTGTTTTTAGAATCTTAGAACTGCAGAAGCTGGAAGGGACCCTATGAATCATCAAGTCCAGCCCCTATCAAGGAGGCTCAGTGGGGAATCGAACTCCCAACCTCTGGCTCTACAGCCAGAGACCTAAACCACTGAGCTATCTAGCAGTTGTTACTGTATAAATGTGGATCCCACCCTTCCTTTTTCATTCCAGAAAGCACAGGATAACATTTAAACCATTTTTGAATGTCTGTCTATCTACCACCCCATTCGCACCAAAACACTATTCTAGGTGGTTAGAAAGGAATAAAAATCAAGACTTTGCCACAAAAATACTAAACTATAACACAAATAGCAGTAATGTGGTAAGTGTAAGACAATCTACCTCAGTTATGGACAGTTGGAAATGTTATTTTTTTAAAAGATGCTGTTAACGTAGCTAAAATAAAGTGAATTTCTCCGGATATTAAATACTTTTTCTCTCACCTCCCGTCATCTTTTGTTACAGGATTGCACGGTGTATGAAACAGAAAATAAAATTCTTCATGTGGTAAGTACACCTTACAGCCTTTATAAAAACGCCTCCCTTTTCATAGCCGTATCTAATTGAAAATCACCAGTTTGGAAAGAGGTTTCAATCCTGTTCTCGTTTCTTTGGGAATAAATCTCTGTGAACACAGTAGATTTACTTCTGAGTAAACCTGTCTAAGAATAAGCTTCAAGAACCCAGTCGTGTTTTGAAGCACTGTTGAAAAAAGATTAGAACGATGTTGAATTTTGCATAGCCAAACATGACAATAATAAGACAGCAAGGTCTGTAAATCTCTAATGTATGCTAGCTAAGCTTCACACGTTTATCCCTTCTGCATGTTAAGGGATGATGATGATAACAATAGATATTCAGTCAACCATTGTCATATTTCTTACAAAACAAAACTCTTTTCACGTGGTAAATACATCACAGAAAGTATTTACTTTCTTTTATTTCAGATAACTATATCTTTCTAGCAAAGTTACCTGAGGAGGAAAGATAGCTTAACAGTGCAAAGGACAGCTTGACGGTGCAATTCTACACATGTTTACTCAGAAGTTTATTTCCACTTTGGAGGAATAGAAGGAGGAGTAAGGTCATGTAATTTCCACCCTGAAGCTAATGCGTTACAGTGCATAATATTTCCACTTTGGAGGAATAGAAGGAGGATTAAGGTCATGTAATTTCTACCCTGAAGCTAATGCGTTAGAGTGCATAGAGTGACAGACTAGGACCCAGGAGACCTGGGTTTGAATCCCCATTTGGCCATGGAAACTCACTGGGATGGTGGAGCTGGAAAAAAATCCCCATTTGGCCATGGAAATTCACTGGGACGGTAGAACTGGAAAAACCATCCCTTACATGTCTGACTTACCTTGAATATTCTAAGAGAGTTGCTATAAGTCTCTTCCAATTTGTCAGCGCCCAACAAAATTTCCACCCTAGGTATAGCTGAACAATACCCTTTGCTCCATGGGAGCACCCTTCTGAATTCTCCAATACATGTGAATGTCTGGAATTTTTTTTTGCCAGTTATACTTGTCCTGGAGTTGGGGAACGTGCCCATTATGTGCGAAATTGGGCTCAAGTCCCTGGCCAGCATTGACAGGGAAGCCGGGATGTATCTATGTACAGGGCATCTCATGCTTCTTTGCACTTGCCCAAGGCTTGCTAAAATCCATGGCCACCCATTCTGTTAACAATCCTCTGCACCGTCTGAATAGCTATGTAGCAGAAGTGGAAGGACGAAGCAGAATTAGCTTCAAGTCTCCGTGCTGCAAGGTCAGAAGACCTGCAGTCGAATCCACACGACAGAGTGAGCCCCCAACGCTTGTCCCAGTTCCCGCCAACCTAGCGGCTCAAAAGCATGCAAAAAGGCAAGTAGATAAATAGGTACCACCTCGGTGGGAAGATAAATGGAATTCCGTGTCTAGTCGTGCTGGCCACGTGACCACGGAGGATTGTCTGCGGACAAAACACTAGCTCCATGGCTTAGAGACGGAGATGAGCACCACCACCTAGAGTCGGAAACGACTGGACAAAATTGTCAAGGGGAACCTTTACCTTTTTACCTCCATGTAGTAGACCACCCCTTATTGTCTCATCAAGTATCTGAATAGTGGGAATTTCTCTTCTATGCCATAAAAGAGAGATCACACACTGAATCGGCAAATGTAATCAAACGATTTTCCCTTTTTGACCATCTTGGACGAAACGATAATCTTTTCTCCTCAGTGGGTCTGAAAGAGATGAAGGTTCCTCATGATTCTTTGAAAATCTGTTCATCGTATCCAAGTTCTATTTTTAAAATAACCTTTTCAACTTTCTAGCTTTTTAAAAAAAGGATGTTTACCATACTCAATGAACTTTCCAGGTTGTTTGAATTTCTGCTAGGCTACCCTGTCTATAGTAAATGTCACTTTATTAATACTCAAGATAGCTTATAAATCAATCTTGACTGCCAAATGACTCCAAAGAAGCTCTTTTAACCTTCTATTTGCAGAATAATTTTTTCAGGGAAAAAATGCATTGATGTTTCATATTAATTATTGTAGTCATCTATCTTAGCCATCCACATAGTTTTGATCAGCTTGTCATGCTTAGAATTTTGTCAGTTAATGACAACTGAACTGTAATATTTTGACAAAGAAGCCGGGAAGAATTGCTGAAGTTTTTTTTTTAAATAGGATTGGTTGCTTCCAGTGTTCAGTTACCGAGAAGCATTCATACTGGAGAACATGTGCCTCTTTGGAAATTCTCGGGTTGTAAATCGCAAAATATTCTTAGAACTGCAGAGCAGGAAGGGACCGTATGGATCTTTGAATCCGGCCCCTGTCAAGGAGGCATGGCAGGGAATTGAACTCCCAACCTATGGTTTCACATCCCAATACCTAAACCACTGAGCTATCCAGAGTCCAAATACACCAGAGTCCAAAAGGTAGCTATAACAAGCTCTCCCTTTCCTGCTTACAATGCTGGCTATATCTCAGGGGAATTATAGTCCAGCCACACATTCCTAAGGAAGGGAACTGCTCTTGCTGATTTTTCTTTTATAAACTTTCTTGTGCAAAAATACACTGTTACAAAAAGCAATCAGTATAATTACTTTATTACTTTATTTATTTATTTATTTATTTGATTTATATCCCGCCCATCTTAATTCAAAGGACGATCGTCTATAGTTTGGAGCGTCTGAGCTAATTATGAGTCAAGGCTAATGCTCTCAGAGTTTAAGACTCAGATCAAAACTAGTTTGGCCTTTATCCCAACAACAAGGGAAGACCTCCCATCAGTCACGTGCATGTTCCTCTTCTCTGTCTCACCCAACTCCATCTAGTGGTAAAAACAAAGAAAAATTGCTTGGACAGCAAGACAGGGTTGAGTGCCAAAAAGAGCTCCAGGTATCATCAGCTCTGCAGTGGGGTGAGAAAGGTTACAAGAGGGAAACAGGGTGGAAAGGAGAGATCTTCAACACTCATATTGTCATTGATACCATTGGGAGCACTGTGGCCAAAATCTAGTTCCAGTTTGAGTAGACCTGTTGAGTCAATGCAACTTACCGTAGTTAAGTATTGGCTTAACCAAAGTTTCACTGCTTCAGTGGGTCTTCTTTAAAGAATCACAGAATCATGAAATCATTGAGTTCGAAGGGGCCTACAAGCCCATTGAGTCCAATCCCCTGCTCAATGCAGGACGCCAAGTCAAAGCAGATCTGACAGATGGTTGTCCAATTTTATATTGAGTTGGAGCACCCACCACCTCCCAAGGTCCTTGATTCCATTGTCATACTGTTCTAACAGTTCTGGAGTTTTTTCCTGATATTCAGCCGAAATCTGGCTTCCTGTAGCTTGAGCCCATTATTACATGTCCTGAACTCTGGGATGATCTTAGTCGGAACAAAAAGTTGGATTTCACCCCTAGAGCTCAGAATAGCCTGAAGCTGTTGTTGATGTTGTTGTTTTTGCAAAATAATTTGAGCTAGACCCACATGAAGACTCAATCTGCACTTACTTGATGAGCTCATTCTGAACAGATTTCAGGAAAACTCACTCCCTGTTACTTATGAATCATCGCATAAAGCAGTTTGATAACTAAAGTGCTATCGGGCAAGAACTAACCCTCTAGCAATAAACCTGGTTATTAGTAAAAAACTAAACAAACAAATAAACCAGCAGTACAAAATATTGGTACAGAATTGCCAAATAAACCGTTCCTTCCATTACAGCGTACATTAAAAGGCATCAGGGGTTATTGCCAAAAAGATTTTTTATAAGGTATGGGTACATTAAGCGCTCCTAGCTGAATATGGATGCACATTTAATTAGAGGGAAGCCCTTCATATTAAATGGTGTGTTCCTTGTTTAGTATGCAGTTTGGTCCTGAGGCCCCTTGCAGAAAATTCTACTGCTGGTATTTTCTCATTTGGAGAGACCGTGCCTTATAAACAAATGGGTTTATAACAAATGGGTTAGGAATCATCCAGTGGGTTAGGAATCATCCATGGGAGGCAGGCATTGTATCATAACCCTTAAGCCCATTGTTTTGTAAGATTTGATTCTACCCAGCATTATGAAACCTCAGTCGGAATATGGTGGCAGGCCCATCACATACCCTTTCTCAGTTGCCTCCTAAAATACTTTCCCCATCTTTGCTTTTTGGTCCTCAAGGAACCAATACTGAAGAAAAGGAAAGGCACGAGGATGCAACATTCTCCCAGTGACAGGGAAGAAAACTTAAGTTAATGAAAGTCATTCATTCATTCATTCATTCATTCATTCATTCATTCATTCATTCATTCATTCATTCATTTATTTATTTATTTATTTATTTATTTATTTATTTTATATCCCGCCTATCTAGTTGATAGACCACTCTAGGCGGCTTACAACAAGGGATACCACAATAAAAACAACAGAATTACATAAAAGAAAACTTTCGACAATTGGGTTAAAACATTAGGAAAGAAAAGAGGAGGGGATCATTCATTCATTCATTCATTCATTCATTCATTCATTCAGTTTGTATCCTGCTCCCCTTAGTGTCACAGCACTACTCTGGGCGGGTTACAACTTATGAAACCGAAAACAAAAATAGAGATAATAAAACCAACAGCGGTGACCGTAAAAAAACAAAACAAAAAAACACAGATGGCATTGATTAATCCCAGAGCAAGGTGGAGGAAATAGAAGGGAGTGAAGAAGAGGGTGGGGAAAGGGGAAGAGGATGGTGGTCAGCTGGGGTTGGTGGGGGAAAGCCTCCCTGAACAGCCATGTCTTTAATTGCTTCCTGAATATCCTCACGGAGGGGGCTTGGCGGAGTTCCTTCAGAAGTGGGTTGCATAAAGTGGGAGCCACCGTGAAGAAGGCCCTATCTTGGGTAGAGGATTGATGGGCCTTTCACGGAGGGGGCTTGGCGGAGTTCCTTCAGAAGTGGGTTGCATAAAGTTGGAGCCACCGTGAAGAAGGCCCTATCTCGGGTAGAGGATTTATGGCCACCCAGAGGAGCCTCGACTGGCTTGATCTTGTGGGTCAGGCAGATGACACGAAGGAGAGAGTTACGCCCATTCTTTTATTGCTAGCCTCTCAGGCAATGGACTAGAGAAAGTCATTGGTTTCAAAAATGAGTTAATATGAATTTCTCTTCTCCTATTGAGAAATAAAGCCTCAGAGGCAATAAAACTGCATAGCAGCCACCAGGAAAATGACATTTTGAGAGTGGGTTTTTGCCTTTGAGTCTGGTTTGTGGACTTTCCACAGACATCTCTCGGAAACAGAATGCCAGCTTGGGTTGGTCTTTTCCTGTGATTTAGCAGAGCTGGTCCCCTTTTTCAAAAGGGTGACAGAGAGCATGACAGCACACACCTTGTGAACTCAATGTCATGACCAGTGAAAGACACAGTTGTTGACATTTTAGCATGAGTGACTCCATTGCAATGTGAGTGGCACATTGTCTGAATGAGTTTCAGCTGCTAAAATGGGTTACGGGGAAGCGTGTAAATGAGCATACATGTGACACCCTGTTAGTTACTGCCAGCATTTCTGACATGGCCAGGGCAGCAGAACAAACTAGCCATTGTTAAGATAAGCTTGATGCTTGAGTAGGTGCTAAATGGCTGAAACCTTACTGCCCATTGCAAAAAAACAGTCCAATCTCTGTCTTGCATGAAGGGCCAGCCCTACCATTTGGCCAAGTGAGGTGGCTGATTTTTAATCTCATCAAAAAGTAGCATGCTGTCATGATGACGGTTGCATTTGTATTGTCATGGAAAGGGAGAGATGGTTGTGGGCCTTCATACACACACTCTTTCTCTCTTCCTCTCTCTCCAGAAGTGTTATACAGTATTATACTTCTCCAGTATAATATACCAGGCCTGGGTATAATCTCTCCATACTCATAACGTCATGGAAATAATAAACCAAGATTGGCTTAACATTCCCATACCAAAGCAGAGTTCAACAGCGGGATTATCTACACTTACCCTTTGCGTGGACCATGGACTGATTGCATTCAGAGTTAATACAGATATGTCATTGGAGCAGGATTTGTTATCATTTTATAATTGTGTTATGTTGTGAGAGGGAATGTGATGTAGAGCAGTGGTCCCCAAGATTGGGCCTCCAGATGTTCTTGGACTTCAACTCCCAGAAATCCTGGCCAGCAGAGATGGTGGTGAAGGCTTCTGGGAGTTGTAGTCCAAGAACATCTGGAGGCCCAAGGTTGGAGACCACTGATGTAGAGGATAGAGTGGCGCATTGGGATTCAGCAGGGTTGGGTATAGTCTCCAAAGCCCACAAGGTACTAGTTCTCCTCAATTCAGCAGTGGTTAGGCCTTATCTTGAGTCTTGTGTCCAGTTTTGGACGCTACACTTCAAGAAGGATGCTGACAATTTTTAACAAGTTCAGAGGAGGGCAACAAGGATTGTCAGCGGACTGGAAACCAAGCCTTAGGAGGAAGAACTGAAGGAACTGGGCATGTTTAGCCTTGAGAAAAGAAGACAATGGGGCGATATGATAGGACTTTTCAAATACCTGAAAAGGAGGCATAAAGAGGAGGGACAGGATCTTTTCTGAATCATCCCAGGGTGCATCAAACTCAACAATGGGCTCAAGTTACAGAAAGCCAGGTTGCAGCTGAGTAGCAGGAAAAACTTCCTAGCTGTTCGAGCAGTACAACAATGGGACTGATTACCTTGAGAGGTGATGAGTGCTCCAACCCTGGAGATATTCAAGAGAAATTTAGGCAACTAATTGGCAGATATCCTTCAATTCACATTCCCTCATTGGGCAGGAAGTTGGCCTTATAGGCCCCTTCCAACTTCATTATTCTATAATTCTATGATTCTATGATCCCTGCTCATCCATGGAAACTCACTGGGGGATGGCAATGGTAAAACCATTCCTGAATTATCTCACATATCTTGAAAACCCTATTGGGGTCACCCTAAGTTGGATGTGTATTGGCAGCACATAATAGCAATATTAAGTATTATTCCATAACATTGTCATGTATGAAACTAACCTGCAATGTTCTTACACAGATTTTTGAATGGTGCACAGCATTAAGTTGCTACTAGTTAATGGTATTTCAAAGTTAATCCATCAGAGCCTCCATTAAAATACCAGTGACATCCCTCCCTCTCTCTCTCCCTCTCCCCAGTGTAAAACGCTTTCTGGCATCTGTGATCACATCATTTCTCTCTCATCTGACTCTCTGGTGTCTCAGTCAGCTCACCTTGAAGTTGTTCACCTTACCAGCATCATGCCCAGCGAAGGTCTGGTAAGTAACATACTCAGTAAAGATATAATGGAGTGAAGACAGTTGTGTTTAGGAGACGTAAAAGTGGTGTGATAAAGGTATTGTGTACATCTCTCTTTTTCTCTCTCCTTTTCCACCACTCAGGTTAAACAGCTGTTGGGAAGTTTTAAAGATTTTGAGTATTTTGAGTGAAATTTACCAGCTTTCAGGATGTAATCAGTTGGGATAATAGACTGAGCTCTGCACTGCTAGTGGAATGGTTCGGTGCAGCCGAAGACATGCAGGGAGTTGTGATACGTTGTGTGGTGTAGTGGATAGAGTGACCAACTTGGATTCTGGGAAATCATCCTTCGGATCCCTGCTCAGCCATGAAAGACCATGGGTGATATGGAACTGATAAAACCACTCCTTAAATATCTCACTTGAAACCCCTATTAGGGTCACAGGACGTCAGTTCTGACTTGAGAGCCTGTAACAACAACACAAGAAATTGTGTTCTAGTCCGAACCCAATCTGTATCCAAATGGGACATTTTTGGTACAGCTGTAGGGCTTCTACTTTTTGGGATCAGAGTGAAACAATTCCTCAACAGGCAGAGTCACTTTAAGGGTGATCTGCTCCCATTAAAGTGACCCTTTCTGGCGGAATCAGGTCCATGCCTTTTCAGCCATCTGATTGTACCCTTAAGTCACTTAAAAGATTTATAGGTTGTCCATCAAGAAAAACAATTCTCTCAAAAATTAAATCAATTAAGTATCTCAACAACACATGTCTTTCACTGTTTGAGACCACATTACCTGTCTGGATGTTTCTTCCCAATGTCATCTACCCAAACCACCAGATTCTCCTGGGCTGTGCTCCTCTGGGTAGCTACTCCGAGGGAGACGAACAAGACCCTCCACAAGAGATTGGGCCTTCTTTGTGGTGGCTCCAACTTCATGGAACTAGTTCCTGGTGGAGCTACGCCTGCCCCCTCCCTGTTAACCTTTAGAAGGTGACTTAAAACACTGCACTTCAGGGAGGCCTTCCACTTTGACCCTACTTGGTTTTATGTCTGCTATCTCATTGAAAATGTGCCTTCAGCACAACCTGCTTTGTCAATTGTTTTTAACATCTTAGTGTGTATGAGTCATGTAGCAGTAAATGTTATATTTATTATTGCTGTAAAACACCCAGAATAGTGCATTGCACTAATGAGGTGGTATCTAAATCTAAGAAATTAAATGTTATATTTATTATTGCTGTAAAACGCCCGGAATAGTACATTGCACTAATGAGGTGGTATCTAAATTTAAGAAATAAATAAAGGTTGTGTCTACACAGCAAGCCTGATCCTACCAATACCTCATCACAAAGCGGTGGAAAGATCGGAAGCATTTACTTCACTCTGCTTCCATTTCCAACAAACCCAGTAGTTCAATTCTACACACACTTCTCCAGCAAGAATTGCCGCCAGCAAATGCTTGATAGATTAAATTTCCCTAGTGACCGGTGGAGACATCTCTCTTTTGGAACAATACGCTGTGCTTGCTTCACTTCACTCGGCATTTGTCAATATAGGAGGCAAATCAACCGTCATTTCTTGGCAAACTCCATTTAAATTCATGGGACGTGTTCAGATACATGGAGCCCCCAGATTATGACAGAATGGAATGCCATTGTGCGTTTGGTAGACAGCAAGTATGATGATAAAACATTTCAGGAACAAGCTGTACATAAATCTACTTCTCCACAGAAAGGCATTGAGTAAAATCATTGGGTTTTTCCTTTTGCATAATCCAAAATCTTTGCTGCTGAGCCTTTTCTGAGAAAATATGAGAATTGGCATCCAGTCCGATGAGTGAATGCATGCGTTCCCAAGGGAAGCTTTGGGATCCACATTGAAGACTATACTAAACGGTGTCATTAAATCAGAATCCACTTCATATTACATCAGTATTTGGAGTTAGCATTGTTCATAAGTGGGAGCTTCACACTTGTGGCCCCAGAAATGTGGAATTATTTTTCTCTTGAACTGCACATCCTTACTTGCTTTTAGAAAGTGCTGTAAGACATATGTGTGACAGCTGATGTTTGTCCTATCAAGTTAAAAGTTTGTCTATGAGCTACTGGATCGGTCAGTTTTTAATTTTTATTGTTGGTATTATTTAGCATATGGTGTCTTTGTAGAGTCGACGTGGCAGAAAAAAAAGCAAGCACAACACTGAGCTGTATCAAGATATGTCTAGTGTACGGATGGGCACAAATCAGAAAAAAATGGTTATTTGTTTTGATTTGTGATTCATCAAGGTTGACAAATCATGAATAATAAATTTACATTTTTTTCTGATGAATAGACAAATTGATTTGTCCATTCATTTTTGCCCTTTTTTAACCCTACCAAACACCCACAAGCACCTAGAGACACCAACTTGTAGATGTTGGAGGGTTATGGGTAACTTCTCTGCAATTTTGGTGCCTCTAGATACTTGGAGGGAACTTTCCTGGGAGGGTCTCTTTGTTGGTGTCTAACCTGGACATCCGAAACCAAAACGTCACCAAACTTGGTTGGATTGTAGACGAGAGTCAGGGGGAGCGTCTCTGAAAAGTTGGTGCCTTTAGGTGCCTGGGGAGCCATTTTATAGCCCAATGAATTGACAAATCAAAAATCACAAAAAATCCATGGATTCGTGTTTGTCAGGGTCATTGATTCATACAAATACGCATCAGTGAATCAGCGATTTTTGATGAATTTTGCAATTCATTTTTCAATTGATGCCCATCTCCAGTCTAGTGTTCCGATCAAGGAAAGTAATAGTACTTCTTTATTCTGCTTGAGTTAGACATCACCTGGAAAACTATCTTAATTCTGTACAGCATAGCTTAAGAATGCTGACCAGCTGGATGATGTACAAATGAGCATGATCAAGACCAGAAAAGGTCTGGAAACCAAGTGCAATCTGGAACAGCTCAAGGAGTTGTAATATGTCTAGCCTGGAGAAGAGGCGACAAGATAGCCATCTTCAAATATCTGAAGGGCTGTCAGAGAATAGCTTAAGAATGCTGACCAGCTGGATGAGGTACAAATGAGCATGATCAAGACTAGAAAAGGTCTGGAAACCAAGTGCAATCAGGAACAGCTCAAGGAGTTGTAGTATGTCTAGCCTGGAGAAGAGAAGAGGCAACAAGATAGCCATCTTCAAATATCTGAAGAGCTGTCAGAGAAGGACAACAAGGATGATGAGGGGACTGGAAACCAAGCCTTAGGAGGAAAGACTGAAAGAACTGGGCAAGTTTAGCCTTGAGAAAAGAAGACTGAGGGGAAATTGGATAGCACTTTTCGAATCCTTGAAAGGTAGTCATATAGAGGAGGGGCAGGGTCTGTTCTCAATCATCCCAGAGTGCAGGACACATAAATATGGGCTTAAGTTTACAGGAGGTCAAGAAAAGCTTCTTAACTGTTAGAGCAGTACAATAATGGAACCAATTATCTCAGTAGGTGATGAGTGCTCCAACACTGGAGGCATTCAAGAGAAAGCTAGACAGCCATGTTTCAGATCTCCTTTGATTTGTATTCCTGCATTGAGCAGGAGGTTGGACTCAATGGCCTTTTGACTCCATTATTTGATGAGTCTATGACTTCTCTCTAAAGCCTGGACTAGCTGCTGCCAGGTAGAGTAGATCAATGTTTGTACATATTCTGTATGATGTGACTAAGTCCAGGAACCCATGATCTGTTTAGAAAATTCTCTGTATTCCTAGTACAGTAGTTAATTATTTGGGGCAAATGTTCACCGGGACAGCCATACCAGCTTCAAATTCCCATATTTGGCTACTAAAATTCCCACTTGGTAGCCAGTGTTGTTCACTGCCGTGAGGTCAGCTGCAAGTGCCGTCAAGCTAAAGCTGTATTAGTACTGTAATTGAATCAACTATTCATTATGACAAGTTGTTCTACATTCATTAATTTATTTCATTATATTTATAAGTTGTTCTTTATTTATAGCATGCACATACACACCCCACACAATCTTCCAGTCCCAACTGGGATCCTAAGATAGAGTGTTCTGATCGATTACATACAGTGAGAGAGACAGAGAGAGAGATTTAAGCAAGTTTCCAGAACAAGAAATTTCATCACTTGTGCAGCTACTTGACAATTGTCACCGCAACCTGTTAGTTTGTGAGAGCAACATACGTCTTTTACCCCTGACATTGAGAGGCGTGGCTTTCCGTGGCATCAATACTGTGACACAATATGCACCAGTGCCTAAAGCATATTGCTGCCAGAGGCAAAAAGGATGTCCCCTTCCATCCTCTGTACAAAAGCTGACTAAACTAACAGCCAAGATCCTGCCACATCGTGTAGGGATATTGAACACAGGAGACAGTTCTGTTATGTTTTTATATTGTCACAGTGTAGTTGGTGTAAATCTTAGCCGTGAAGAGCTGCAAGTTAAAAATTCAGCATAGAGGGGTTTCTGGCAACAGTTGGCCACTAAGATATACACACCAATTGAATTGCACTGGCGTAAAAAGACAGGGGCTGAAATCTGCTAGTAAGTTGCTGCTCAAGTTAGGCCTATTGAATCCTGGGGGTTTGGTAAGTCTACTCCGCCGTAAGCTTCACTGATTCGATGAGCTCACTCAAGTTGCCACTTATTGCTGAGATTTCAGCCAATAAGACTTTGAGCACCTACATCTGAAAGCAGAAGGCAAGCTTAGAAGGTTCTGGGGGGGCTGTAGGGCTATCAGTTCTTTTCAACTATAAGCAGCATGCTTTTTTTCTTTTTTTACTGTGGTCTCGCCACGTTTTCCACCTGAAGTAACCACCTCACTCTGCTCGGTAATAGGTCTACTTCAGCCATAGACATATAGCATCAAGCGATATGCCACCTCTTTCTCTGCATTCACCCACCTGTCGTAATGGTCGGGATTTTACTAGTAATAACAGTACATCAATAAACTCCTGGGGAAAACAGAGACAGCGCACAGCAGTATTTCCTTTGCTATCCCAAATCGGAGAGAGAAAAATCCAATATGGGGTAATTTGTACAGTTCAGACTGCTTGTCTGATTAGGCGTGATACGGAACGGTCTCTGAAGCAGAGTCATGATGACATCGGTTGTCTTGGAGAAACAATACATTTCCTTTGATGTCCGTCTCTTCTTGCCATGAAGGATAAACTGGTCCTTTGAGGACTTCCTTGAGCACAGGAGCGGGCTGAAAACAGAACCATGTATGCATGATCTTGTAGGCTACAAGAAGGAAGCCATTCCAACTCATAGCACACCTCAAGATTGTGTGGGTTGCTGGGGTAGAAACAGTTAGAGACTGGAAAAGTTTCACATGCTGTGTACTGCCTCCCTACGCACCCGGAAGCCCTCAGGTTGCATAGGCAGTGTTGAAAAAGAAACTTTTCTAAGTTTTAGACATTGTTTTACACTGTTGGGAAGAATGTGTTCAAGTTTCCCATAAGTCATGGGTGTTTCTTACCTGATTTCATAGCCTTGGAAATTCTCCTGCAGGAGAACCTGCATATTCTTGCAGGAAAGGATGAAAAATACACTTCCCCCACCCCTCCTCATCTTTTAAATGGTTTTATACAGATTGCAACTTGCAGCCTGAATCTCCTAGCCCATGTGAATGCCACAAACCTCTCTCCAAAATGGCAACCCATCTGCACTGGGAAAAATATCTTGAGGGTTATGGTTCGTTACAGGGATACGACCTGGACTGTTTTCAATCAGTTGTTTCTAATGCATGAATATTTTATTTCATAGACAAAGCTTTGCCCCGGTTACAAAAAGTTCAAGACCTTTCTGTCTGTCATGCGAAAATCTCCCCACTGCCTTCATTTGCTCCACAGGAAGAGCCTTGCCGAATCAAATCCAGTGCAATTAATAATCTTATGGTCTGTGAATTCGACTGTTTTGTTGACGGCTCATCTACTTTAGGAGACTCGGCGACAACTGTGAGGGCAGTCTTGACCCTTTGATGTCCCCTTTTAATGGGGATTTAAAAAGCAATAGGCGTCTCTCCTAACAACAGGTAGCTAACCTACCTGCATTTGGCTTTTTAAGGTGAAGGGGAAAACAGTGACTCTCCCCTGTGAATCCCTCCACCATTTTCTGAATCATTTGGTTCCATTATTGAACGGTGCTTATCGTCAGGAAATTACTCCTAATATTAGTAGTCATTTGCAACTAGAGTAGCCCATTCAACTAGGGGGGATTTGGTGAGTCGACTCCTCTGTAAGTTCCACTGACCCAATGGGACTACTCTAGTTGCAACTTCCTATTGGGATTCCAGCCACTCTTTCTTTATGTTTGAATTTCTTTGTCGAGATCCCTCAGAATCCAAGGCAAAGAAACTTGCTTTAGCTTCCATGCGACAGCCCTTCAAATACAGTATATGAAGACGGCTGCCTTATTATCTCTCTTGGTCTTCTTTCCTAAGAGCTTCATGGCGCAGTGGTTAAAACTGCCATACTGCAGCCAAAACTGCACCAGCCACTCTTTCTTTATGTTTGAATTTCTTTGTCGAGATCCCTCAGAATCCAAGGCAAAGAAACTTGCTTTAGCTTCCATGCGACAGCCCTTCAAATACAGTATATGAAGACGGCTGCCTTATTATCTCTCTTGGTCTTCTTTTCTAAGAGCTTCATGGCGCAGTGGTTAAAACTGCCGTACTGCAGCCAAAACTGCACTCACAGGCCAGGGTTCAATCCCAGGGAGCTGGCTCAAGGTTGACTCAGCCTTCTACCCTTCCAAGGCTGGTAAAATGAATACACAGGTCTCAGTGGGGGACATAATTAACTTGTATACTGCCCAAAGAGCACTTTAAGCACTATGGGGTGGTATATAAGCAGCACATTTTGCTTTTTGCTTTGGTTTTTCTTTGGACTCAGCATGCCCAGCTCCCTCAATCATTCATCATTAGAGTTGGGGGGATTTGTATACGAATATTCGTATATTCATAATACGAATATTTGTATACGAATACCCTGCGACAGGTGGAGATAACAAGGGTCCCCCCTCCTGGGCCCAGACTGTTCACTCACGGTTCCACTGCTGCTGTGGGCTTTGCACTCCCTTCCTATCACTCCGGAGCTCGCGGTGAATTAGCCAGTCTTCGACCTGGCAGAGACTCATCATCCCACCTTCTGCCAGGAATGGCTAATCCATCACAAGCTCTAGAGTGATAGGAAGGGAGTCCGGAGCCCGGAGCAGCGGCAGAAATTGTGATAACCCTCGGATAGGAAGGGAGCCCGGAGCCCGCAGCAGTGGCAGAATTGTGATAACCCTCATATACGAATACACCCATCTCTATGAATGCCCCTATCTCTACTCATCTCAAGTTTCAGACCTACTGCCCTCCTCTGGACACATTTCGTCTTCAGCCCTGGCAACAGGATAACATCCACTACTCCACCTAATGGCAGCGGCCTGGCTTATACCACATATGACAGGTCACATGACACCTGCCTCCTTACCCACTCTGTCTGGTTCTGCCGCCTGCGTCAGCCACCTCATTTTGGCAAATTGGTAGGGCTGGCCCTGCCTTAACAGGAAAGAAGGACAACGTTTTCAAATTCTAGAAGATACAAAGCAGTGCGTTGGGGTGTGGGGATGTGTCTGTGTGTGTTGAGGAGACGGAGGGAAACTGAATAAAAACAAGATACAGCTTTTCAACTGTTTTATAATGAGGTGCTATGTGCTCTTTGTAGAGAAGATGACAGAAGTAGTTTCTGGTGATAAAAATGATGCTTGTTGTTTAATCTTATTCACTTTTGTGCTCCTTGTTTTGAAGTTCTGTGTCGCTACTACCAGTACGTTTTTTTTTCTTTTTCTGTGCACTGGTATTAGCTGGAAAAGGCACCAGCTCGTTAGCTTTCTATTTAAAGATCAAGGGGACAGGAAGTTCTCAGGGCAAAATTTCATAGCTGCTGTTGGGTAGATTCAGACATTTCTTTTTCTTGAATTAAATCCAAACGAGAGAGACAGAGAGAGCCTATGTTGCTTTTATGTCAGAAGTATTGCTGGCAGGATGGTGATCTCTCTCTCTCTCTCTCTCTCTCTCTCTCTCTCACACACACACACACACACACACACACAAACACACACACAAAACCAACAATGACAACACTACCCCATCTTGACCATTTCCATCTACACACAAGAACTCCGGATTTCAGGCACCTTGCAATGCTTACATTAAAACTGAATGGTAGTTATACTACACATTTATTTTAACAGCCCTCATTTATTAATACATTCTGATTCATTTTCATTTGACATGTTGTTGGTCTCCTTGCCAAGTTTATACTGCCCACCCTGAGTTGCAGGGAAGCTGAGATCTTGCAAGGAGCTCTGGCTGAAATTAGCAGTTGTGGGGATGGGAAAATTCTAGAAGGACAGGGATGGCTCCATGGCAATAGTAAAAAGTGATAATGTCAACAGCAGCCAACGCTCAACCTAACTCTAGTTAAGACCACGCAGAAGAAGACAGTGGTAAGCCCCTTCTGAATATTTTATTTGAATATGCTGAATATTTTAATTGAATAATCTGAATATTTTGTTCACTATGATGAGATGATTCAAAAGACTCCCAGGTTATACGGCTACTGGGGTAGAGTAAAGGATTGTTGCTCATGGACAACCTGCACCAAAAGGTAGTTCAGTTGCTTATGTACATGGGGAGAGAGAGAGAAATTAAATATGGAACATGGAATGTGAAAAAGGCAAATCAAGCTAACCCCAAAAGCATAAAAGAAGACATTGAAAGTCACTTCCTGAAGCAGATCCAACCCAGCCAGAGCCATCTCCCTCTCTTCAAAGATTCCCTATTTGTGATGAAAATGAGTTAGTACACTCCACCTCATTACATGTACCCTCCACGTGCTTTAATAATAACTGGACATGACCTTTCCCATGCATGTATTAATTGTTTCTTATTCTTTCTCAGGGAATGTATATTAAATCAACGTATGACGGGCTACATGTGATCACCGGAACAACTGAAAATGTATGTTTTGATTTTTCTTATTCCTTATGTTTGTTCTTTCATCTTCATGATTTGAATGTTCAGAGTTCTGTATATGGAACGTGTCCACTTTCTTAAGATGAGGACTGCTGGGAAGTTGTATATTCTCTTATTGTCTAAGAAATGCAAGATGGCCTCCTGAATACTGGAAACTAAAACTTCTGCAGTGGTTGATAGTAGGCTTGGGATTTCTATATTTTTGGACAACAAATCCCATAATTCTCCATTCAGCGAGTTCTGCTTGACATACAGACACCTAAACATGGCTCATCTGGGAGAAAGGCCTAAGCTTCCTGTTCAGAAAGGAAATTCCTAGCTAGCAATGAGGCAGCTTCCTCTCTGAATAGGATACTAGGCCCATTTAGACCTAGCTTCTAGCTTGGGGCATGGTGGCGCTGCAGGTTAAACCGCAGAAGCCTCTGTGCTGGAAGGACAGATCCTGAAGCGGAGGCTCCAATCCTTTGGCCATCTGATGAGAAGAGAAGACTCCCTGGAAAAGCCCCTGATGTTGGGAAAGTGTGAAGGCAAGAGGAGAAGGGGACGACAGAGGACGAGATGGTCGGACAGTGTCACCGAAGCTACCAACATGAATCTGGCCCAACTCTGGGAGGCAGTGGAAGACAGGAGGGCCTGGCATGCTCTGGTCCATGGGGTTACGAAGAGTCGGACACGACTGAACAACTAAACAGCAACAAACTCATTTTGAATTGAGATGCCACCAGAGCAACCTCTGCTCATTACCATTTTTGCCTTCTTCTCCCTTTCCCCACTTCCAATATACAGTCTCATTTTGATTGTTATCATGTTCCGTTTCAAAGCCTCTGGCTTAATTAAGCATATTTGGGTCTGAGAAATTAAATGGGCTTATAAAATAGTCATATGTAATTAAGGAATCGGCTATGGAAGAGTGCTAACTAGCGATGAAAAAGTACATGTAGTGGAAGCGTTTGTCCTCCCACCACCCGTGCCGATTATACCCTCTAGGGCTCAGCCCCATTTTAATATTTGTGAAACTCAAAGCTTTGAAGGGATTTCCACGTGGCCAGATAGGAAATGGAAGGACTTGCATAGCGATAGCCAGGAAGAGTCTATGGAATGGGAAAGGAGACCCTGTAATAAATTTCTAAGATGAGTCCCTTTGGCATTTTAGTTTTAGATACAAAGGAGACTCTCCTTCCTGATCCTCATTCATTTCAGCCCAGAATTTTGGCCTTTTGACATGCACACAGCATGACATCCTCAGAATGGCACAAGGAGTACGGTATTATTCATCCGTACCTTCACTGCAAAGCGAGGACCCTTTGGTTCTGCAGACGATTTTGGCCAACAATTCCCATCTGCCCCATCTTGTATGGCCCAAGGGGAAAGTATCACAAGATCCATAACCCCAAACATCTGTCAGGCCAAAGATTCATCACCCCAATTCATTGCTTAGATCTATATTCTCTCTTTTGTCCTATGACCTTAAGACACCATAGGTGCCTTTCCACTTCCCCACTTTATTGAAATAAACCAGGTGGTGGTTTGGGGGTTTGAATCTGGTTTAAAGATATATGGTAGTCACGTGGTTTTTGTGTTGGTGTGTGCATCCTCTTGGAAAAAACTTTAAATCCCTTTTTAAGCTGTGTTGTATATCACTTGAGAGAGCTACATAGGTTTTTAGAATTGCTGCATTTGAGGCTTTGTCCTGTGCCTGACCACCCTTCCACTAGTTCCCCTCATAGCTATTAGCTGCTGCTGCAGTACTATTGTTTTTCCTAAATTTTTTTTATTTCTTGCAATTTGGCATAGCGCTAGAACAGACTGATAGGTAGAAGAAAAATTTAAAACAGCGGTTTCCCTGTAACCTGACATACTGTATACTCGCACACAAGTGAGTGGCAAACCACACATATACAATTTACACTGACAGAGGTGTTCACACATATCAGATTTTACACTGACAGAGGTGTTCACACATATCAAATTGATTCAAATTAAATCAGTTTGACATCTGAGTTAAAATGAACAACCCTCTGGCAGAAGAGTATAATACCTTGTTTTCAATCACAATAATGCAATTCCCTTTCAAAACAATCCACAGTTCCATATATGATGTGTAGTCACCTTTTTAAAAATTGATTTAAAATATGCTAAACCCGATTCAAATACCATTTTTTTCTATTATACCCGTGCTCATAGTTGCCCATTCAAAATGCCAGCCTACACAATTCTGTATTGCAACAGGGAGAACTATATACTGTTACTGGAAAAATGCACTCTTCCTTCCTTCCTTCCTTCCTTCCTTCCTTCCTTCCTTCCTTCCTTCCCCTAACTAATGTATGGGGTGCAACTAAATCCAGAATGAAAAAGAAAGCTTGAGGAAGAGTAACAGAGAGTATCTTCATTTCTGACAATCAAAATGTTCTGGTTTGTCAGCCCAATAAGCCCTGAATCCACTCCAGCATGATTTCACTCCTGAAATTAAGATGAATTGTGGGGAAGACATATAACAGCTTCGTAGTGTGACTAAGTAAGGTTGAGGAAGGGCTGAAATGTTACTTCCCTAACCTCTGATCTTTCCCAGACAGAAACAAAAAGTGAATTATTCTACCGTGCTTTGATCCAAGCAAGCTTGTCTCACTTGGTGTTCAGCAGGCACAAACTCTTTAGCTGAAGATGTGAGAACATGAGTCAAAGAAATCAAGCTATTTTAATGACAATACCGCAGAAGATTTTTTTAAAAACTATATTATGTGTATCCCTGCTTGTTAGAAAATGCAAGACTGATTATCGTATTATGATAATTGTTTCCACAGATGTATCAAAAATCTATTTAGAATTTATTTTAACAATCACTGTAATTGAGCAATAAAGGAGGCACACTAATTTTATTGTGCTACTTATATCAGCTCTTATTCATCACAATTTGGCATGCTTTCCCCCTCCTTATCTCCCTCTTTTTCCTCTTTGTTAAGTTTGACTGGAATGAGAGAGAGAGAGAGAGAGATGTCTCTGATATGGGGCAGAGACATAGGTGGAAATGCTGTTACCTAGTGTAGTAAGTTACACTCCAGTAAGCCCACTGAATCAGTGGGGACTTGGTGAGTCAACTCCTCTGTAAGTTTCATTGATTCTAATAGGCCTACTCTAGTTGCTGCCAACCCAAAAGTAAATCACAACTAGAGTAAGCCCCTTTGAATCAATGGGACTTACAGAGGAGTTGACTCACCCAATCCCCACAGATTCAGTGGGTTTATTCTAATGTGACTCACTGTAGGACTCCAGTCATAAAGCTTTAAAAACCCTTTTGGACTACAATTTCCATAGTCCCCGGCCAGCATAGCCACAGTCCAAACTGGCTTGAGGTCGGGAGTTGTAGTTGTGGTTTGTTTGGGGTTTTTTTGTTTGTTTGTTTGTTTGTTTGGTAGTTGTAGCCTTTTCCAGGTCTTTACATAAACATCTTGTTCTTGAATGCATGATATTGCTTATGAGTCCACAATTCAAAACATCACGAAATGGTCCAATATTGCTTTGCAGTGTGACGCCCACCTTGCCACCAGGAAAAGGATGGCAAGCTTTATGTCGCAAAGGCCCGCTGGAATGCTGACAAAGCAACACAACAATTCCCTACACAACTTGTTTAAGTACAGGCATGACAAACTGATTTGTGTTTGGGTGGGACATGGTTAAATGACCCCCCCACCCCAAAAGTTCAGGTTCTGGGATTTTCCCTTTCTTGATTCTGCTTGTGAATGGTAGTAGGCAGAAGAGGGGATCCAAGAGACCATCCCAACAGCTGACATGGGTGTTATCAACATTCTGGCTGGCTTTGCTACATATCTTAACACCCGTCTTCTTCTTCTTCTTCTTCTTCTTCTTCTTCTTCTTCTTCTTCTTCTTCTTCTTCTTCTTCGTCTTCTTCTTCTTCTTCTTCTTCTTCTTCTTCTTCTTGTTATTAGATAAATACAGATACGGACACTGTGTTTGAGAAAGGAAGGTTCCCAAATATAGTATAAGTATTCAAAAAGTCTGTTAATGCACAGATTCAAAGATGATTTAGCAGTTTCAGTGTAACTCAGGAAAAAGTGGAGAAGGGTGGGTGAGATTACCCTGGGCACGAACCTGGGGGAAGGAAGCAGCAAAGGCTACACAGCATGTTTTTTGCTTCTGAAAAACTGACGTTGCTTTTTAAAAAATAGGGTACATTTCTGTTCCTACTTGCTCAGGGTGTAAATAAGCAGAGCAAGAACAGTATAAAGGTATCCAGCCTTTTCTCCCCTACGGGGAACTGAACTCAGTGAAAAGTCAAGTGCTGGAGTGGTTGAACTGCTCGGGGACACAATGCACAGGGCTTTCAGTCCGCTAATGGAAGGGCAGCTCTGCGCGCTCAATCTCTCTCCCCCCTAGCCAGCTGCGGGGAAACTCACCACTGATGGACTCTAATGGACTCTAATGTTGACGGGTTTTAAAAAGCTGTTCATTGACAGCCAGCGTGACTCTATATACCCTGAGCTGAAGACCTCACCTCTTAGACCAAGGTAGCAAATCCCAGGCTGAGAAAAGCCAAATGTTGCAACCAGAACAAATTGTGTTACTTGGGCTAACTGGTAAGGGTTTGCTAATTTTGAAAAACAGCTTCTTCCCCCCCTCCCATTTTCTTCTTCTTCTTCTTCTTCTTCTTCTTCTTCTTCTTCTTCTTCTTCTTCTTCTTCTTCTTCTTCTTCTTCTTCTTCTTCTTCTTCTTCTTCTTCTTCTTCTTCTTCTTCTTCTTCT